GCCGGGCCGGGGTCCCGCTCCAGAGCCAGCGCCCGCACTGCCTGAGCCCCCCTGGGCAGCAGGGATGGGGCTGCCCCTGGAGCCGGCGGCGACAAGGGTCTGGCTCCCTGTTTCCAAGAGCAGGCGATGGCAGGCCATTCCCCGGGGGGGGGAGGATACCTTTTATCGCTCAGGGACCTGCCGGCTGCAGCCCCCCTGCTCGCTGCGGGTAGCGGTCGCGCGGGTGAACCCATCGGATCAAGCCCAAGGGTGGGCACAGAGACCCCCATGCCCGCTGCTCTGCCGGGGCCTGCGTCCCCAAGTTCAGCAGTGCTGGGGAGCGCAGTGAGCGCTCGGCTACTGGGCTTGGGGTGGGGACACCACGTCTCCCCTTCCCCATGGGAGAGCGCATCAGGATTCGCTTGGTCCCGCAGGATGAGTCTCCATCAGGTCTGAGGCTGAATTTCCCATCAAGCCCGGACTCCGGCACACGGGCAGGATCTGGCTGGCTGGGTGTGCGCTGTGCCTGTGGGCCCAGGACGTGCTCCGTCACTGTGGGACCCGTCTTGCACGTCGTCCCGTCTAATTCAGCCCTGTTTGGAGATGCCCGAGATGATTCCCAAATGTTTTATTAAGAATGTTCTTGGAAGGCGCCCAGCTAATCCCCGTGGCAAGCTGACATTTGTAGTAAATCTCTGCTTTCTGTCAAACATGATTTTCTCAGTGACATTTATGTCTGAAGACTTCAAATCGCTTGGCTTCCAGTTCTGCTCAGCCCAAGCACCCACTAAGGTGCACTGGGAGCTCCAACTTGTGATTTTACAGAAAGATTTAAAACCTTTATGCCTCTAAACCCCTACTTGAAACACACCCTCCTCTTGAAATACCAAAATAGCATCAAAGAAGCTTCCCTTTGCGTCAGCAGCATTATCATGCCAAGGGTTCCCAGCCTGGCATCAAATCCCATACCACTCTGACCCCTGGCACGTGCAGCCAGTGTTGCTGTGCCAGCCTGTGCCTGGGCAGGGCAGCCGGGGCTGTGCTGGGCACCTCTGCTCTGCTCCCTGCTGCCTTCCAAGCCGTGTGCTCCATGGCACAGGAGCGGGCTGGCAGCCAGGAGGGGAACTGGTGCATTTTGTGAAGACAGAGCCCCCGCTGCCCCTCGCCCTCACTGTATCATGTTCAGCCCAAAGACTGAGGTTTCCAGCTCAGGGGTGTCCCGAGGCTTTCCTAGCCCCACGTGAACCAAGTCGTGTTGGTGCCACGTGTCACTCGCAGCTGCACATGGGCCACACGCTGCTGTGGCACTGCTCCCTGTTGCTTTCCTCTGGAGGAGTTCAGAAGCTGTCTTGGGAGCAATTAACTACTGCAATGGATGGTGTATCAGTGCTTTGAACTCAGGGAACAGCACTCAGTACCGCCCTGGACCTCCCCCTGGGTGCATCACAGGGGATGTGGAAAGCATCAAGAGGGAGAACAGGAAAACGGTGCTGGTCCCTGGGGAGGGGGAAGCAGGGATACTGCAGCAAAGTGGGCTGAGCACTGGCAGGGCAGACACATGCACCAAGGTCTGGACTACTCACAGCTGGATGTCCAGGAAGAGTCGCTTCTCCTCGCCGACATGGACCCTCCAGATGCAGTCCTCCCCCTCTGCATAGGGCTCCGGCCAGTTTGGGGACAGGATCACCCCAGCCACGGCGGTCAGCTCCCCCCCGCACATGGCTGTGGGAGCGAGAGGCAGGCAGGGCTCACCCAGGGTCCCGGGGTGGTCGCACCCGCCGCCCAGCATTGCCGCAGGCACTGACCTCGGCACAGCGGCTCCGTGTCGTTCCAGTACGGGTCCCGCATGTTGACACACTCGATGACAGCGGGGCCCTGCTCCAGGGAGTGCCCAGGGTCGCACGTGAACTCCACGGTGGTGCCCAGGTTGTAGGTAGGGTCGGAGGTGGTGAAGTTCCCGTTCTGGATGTAGGGCTCGTAGCAGTGGCCCCGCTCAAAGGCTGGAAGAGAACCCCCCCATTAGCCCTAGGGGCACAGAGCTGATTCGGGAGCGCTGCTTTCCTCCACCCCTCACACCTTCAGCTCTGGGGGTTTGTAGATGAGCTCTGCTGCTGTCCCCAGCTAGAAACCCATCCCTCCATCCCCGCTGTGCATGGATGGCCTCTTCCACGGGGTATTTTACAGGCAATTAGGATTAACAACAGTTTATCTGCCCTGAGCCATGCAGGCTTAACCAGACCCCACTCCCATTGTGTATCAGCATCAGTAACGCATTCGCTGTGTTGCCAGTTGCTGTATTTGCTGAGCAATCTACCTTGGGATTACTGCAGGATACTGAGGCACAGGGCTCCCACGGGACTGATCCCGGCAGCAGGATGCACTTAAATGACAACTGGAGCGAATCTGTGTGAGCTGCCCAGGGCTTGCCAGTGCTCCATCCCCAGAGGGGGATGGGTCTGGAGGAAGGCAGCCTGCTGAGCACGTGTTGCAGCAAGGGCAGGAGCCAGGACAGCCCCCGTCCCCACGGCTGGTGTGGGCTCCAGATGCAGAGGTGCGGCGCTACAGGGACTGGGCAATGGGACAGATTGGCCTTTGGTGGTGATGGTTGCTTCAGGCTGTGTGATTCCCATGGCACCAATCACCTTTGCCAGGGTTTGGAGTGGCCCCATTTTGGACACAGCACCCACTGCCCCCAGGCTGCCCCACGGTGGGCACAAGAGACACGTCCCGTGGACATTCAGCTCACCAACAGACCTTTCTTTTGAAGTAAATGGGATTTCACTATTTCTTTTCCTATTTCTTGCTAGGCAAAAGTATTCCCCAAAGTAGTCCAGCATCGGGTGACGTTTGGGTTGCCCTGCATGCCTACAGTGACATGGGGACAGTGGCACAGCAAGCACCGGCTCTGCCAGTGCCAGGGGCAGACAAGACCCTTCCTACATCCATATCTCAGATAAGTGCCCAAGCGTCCCAGGCTCGGGAGTGCTGACTGAGGCCATCCAGCTGCTTTCAGGGATACCAAAATGAGACCCCATCACCTTCAAAGCGTATGTTGAAAGCCGTGGCGGCTGCAGGCTCCTCAGCAAGGAAGTCAATCCTCATGGAGGAGCCGTCGCTGATCACCCCTTCGAAGGGCACGCTGTCGGCACGCAGCGAGTCGTAGAGGACAGCGGACTGGTTTGTGTCCCCGCTGTAAACCACCATCCTGCACGGGAGGACACGGCACGTTATGTGGGAGAAGTGTCCCCGTGTCCCACCCAGCCCCTCTCCTTGCCAGCGCCCACTCTCTGGTGCTCCCAGAATATGGCATTTTACAGAAATCGTGCAAACAAAAATTCGCCATCCGGAATGGCGAATTTTAAGTCTCTTTTACTGTGTCATAAACAGAGGCTCTATCCTTTGGTTTTACTACAAGCCATAAACCTGCTTTACTGCCCGTTACCAGACTGAATGTTAACGCTGTTTAAACACAAGCATCAGCCCCGTGAGCGTGCGCTTTGTGTTAGGGATGCTGATCGCGTGGGACTTGCGGCTTCTTGCGCCGTGGTGAGGAGCAGCGCTGGGTACTCGGGAGGAGGAGATGATGGTGTGACACAGCAGAACGTATCACCCCACAGCTAGCAGGATCAGGATTCTAGCAAGATTCCCCGGCACAAAGCACAGGGCCTCGGGATTGCAGGGGCTGGTGCTCTGCACCTGCCTCCTGCAGCTCTTTTTGCTCAAAGACCTTCCTGAGCACTTGGAGACCTAAATCAGGAACCTCCTCTTCTGCACCAGCACCCTTCTCTGCCCCCACCCTCACCATCCTCTGGCTGGCAGCCTCTTCTGTGCTGCACCTTGACCTTGGGTCGGGTGTTGCCTCCCAGGACACCCTCAGCCCGGGCACTGGGAGGGCAGGAGGTGTGAGGTGGAGGAGCCAAGACCGCCTGGGAGCATCCAAGCCCCGGCAAAGCTCCTTGCTCCTCATCCTGAGCAGAGCAAAGCTCTCCACTCTTCTGGGGGTGCAGGGAAACGGGCTCACTGTGGATCTCGCCATCGACCAGCAGCACCCGAGCGGCTCCCGGAGCCTCACCTGTCCTTCTCGGTCAGCAGGAGCTTCTCAAAGTGCAGGTGCAGTTTCTGGCCCGGGGGTGCCCCAATGGCCCACACGCAGTACATGCTGCTCGACTGGTTCCCTGTGTAGCTGGGTGAGAGGACGCGGCCGATGGTGGCATTGTGGACCGTCCCGCCGCAGGGCGCTGCCGAGAGAGCACAGCCCCGCTGAGACGGGCAAGGAGACAGGGCAAGGCGGAGGGCACGGGCAAACATTTGCACCCAGGGGTCTGCACAGCCGAGGATGAACCCCTCCACTGATGCCTGCCCAGCTCTTCTCAGCAGTACTTGATGCATAAACCCCTGGCCTGGCTTTGCTTTGTTTTATGTACACACATATATGCTCACACATGCACGTAAAACCTGTAATTTCCTTTCCCTCACCTGCCTAATTAGCAGGCAAATTCTGCTGCCACTGACAGCAAAAACCCGCAGCACCTTGAGTTGCACTCTGCAGAGCTGGGCATTGCTTTCACGGTCCCAGGGCTGCATTCAACTCACAGCGTAAAGAAAGCAACTCTAATTTTACTTTTTTTCTTTAGGGATTCCAGTTTTTCTTAGAACTGAGGCTAACGAGGAGTGTACCTGAGCAGATTGGCTCCGGGCTGCTCCAGTGCGGCCTCGACGCGTTGATGCACGTAAGCACCCTGGGACCCTGCAGCTCGTAGCCCAGGTGACAGTGAAAATGAGCTATTCCACCCGAGTGCAAATCCATCACGGTGACGTCTCCGAAGTCAGGTCTCCGTGGAAAGTTGCAGCTCAGCATAAACACTGGAACAAGCACACGTGTTGCAGAGCTTAGAGCTTGTCTGCTCTCAGCATGTCATGCTGGATGTGCCCACGGTGCCACGGACAGACCTACTGCCAGGTGCCAGCTGCAGAGCACTGACAAACCGCCCCGCTGCTGCTTCTTCACCTGTTACTGCTTTTGCTCAGACCCAGTTTCTATTTTAAAAAATTGCTGGAACTCATCTATTTTTTATAGCTCTTCAAGGAATAAAATAGACTTGCAGCCTGAGTCTGTGCAGGAAAAGCTGCTGCATGGGGAAGGAAATGGGGCAAGGTGGGTGTGGGGAGCATAGACACTGCTGGGGTCCGTTGGTGCATGTTAAAACCCACCAGTGGTGGGTTTGCTTGCCCCCACCAATGCTCTGAGCATGGGCATGCAGTGAAACAGGAGCCCAGCTGGTCTGAGAGGGCAGAGCCCGGCACCTTTCCACCCCCGCAGCCCGGTGGGGCTGAGCCCCAAAGGACTGATGCCCCATCCCACCCCCCCTTGCACGCCCGCGGCGGGGAGTCACCCACCCTGGTAGTGGAGCTGGAAGGTCCCCACCACCTCATCCTGGAAGGTGCGGAAGTAGACGGAGATGGTGTTGGTGGGGCTGCGGATCACCTGGCCCTCCACTAGCAGGGTCTGGTTGGCCAGGACCACCAGTGCCTCGCCATCCACCCCCCGGATGGAGAGCACCTCCCCGTCAGACAGGTTCACGCTCTTCACCTGGATGGGAACAGAGACCTATGAGCTGCAGGAGCGGAGTCGGGGGTCCCGTCAGGGTGCTGGGCAAGTGGTTGCATCCCAGCCCCGGACACACAGCACCACAGCCTTCCCTCTGCACCGTAGGCTCACTGCAGGCAGGAGCTGCTTCTTCAGCCGTGATGGAGCAGTCTGTGCCCTGCACGAGGCCTAGGGACCCTCATGACTGCCGTCCCCGTCCCCCTCCCCTGGGACAGCAGACGCAGGCAGCTAGAGCCACTCACTCAAGATGTGTTTCAAAGCTGGATGCTCCCGTGCAGCACCAGTTGACCCATGCCTACTTCTCTGCTCAAACTGGGGAATTGGGCTGGCAGGTGAGACATGATGAAGATGTAGGGGTCCCCTGAGTCATTGGTTAGGGTAGTGCTGGGGTCCCAACTGTCCCCACATCAGCCTTGGGAACAGACCTGCACCTCAGGGCTTGGTACTCACCATCCACCCCATGCACCAGGGATCCCCAGGATCCCTCATCCACACTGGGGAGAGGATGGGGAGTCACCAGCAAATGCGCCTAATGAGCAGTCCCATGAGGCTTTAATTATTATTTGGAAATAGCTGAAAAGTAACCTCACATTTGCATTTCACGTCCATTTAGCTTAATAAATGGGCTCATATTTCAGCAGAAAGATGCTCATCAGATCATTTGTTTCCTTAAGTGTGCGAGGACCAGGGCTCTATATTTAGCGCACACAACAGCCTCAGCCCGTAATTGCGAGCGCTCCCGACAATGTTGTGACTAGGAGGATTTGTCGCTGTTGTCACAACCGTGCCCGTCTCTCCCACCCGGCGCACGCGGAAGGGATGTGCCCGGCTCCAAGGGCTGCTGGTGCTGCGCACAGAGCCACCCGCGCTGCTTGGCATCCTCTGACCTGCTGCAAAAAGTGAGATTTCATCTGGAGAAACAACCCCAGCCCTATCCAGTAACTCCAGTAACTCCCTGCCTGCCCTGAAGGTCCATAAGCCCTGAACGGAACCTGGAAAGTCCAGTCCTCGCTGCGGCGCTGGGCCGAGCAGCCCTGAGGCAGAGCAGGGTCAGAGCACACCTGGGTTCCCCCCAGCTCACGCTTTTAACCCAGGAGAAGCAGTTTTTGCCTTATTTTGCAGCAGGGTACTGGGTCACTGCAGAAAGTCTCTGATCCTCACTGCAGGGAAAAGCAGCTCTTGGTCCCCGTGGATGTCGCACGGTGTGTTGGAAACACAGGGAAGTGCTTGTTCTGGTTCCTCACCTGCCCCAGGTAATTTCTTTTTTCCCCAGGTTTTGTCCTGAAAACACGTCTCCCCCGCACAGCGTGCACACATCACACCTGGTGGGATGACTCAGATCTAATTATTAATAAATGGAATGAATTAAATGTTATTTGGGAGGAATTATTTGGAGCACGGGATCCAGGGATGCTAAGTGGGCTACATACAATGCTAACGACTTCCCCCCAGCTCCCACTGGGGCAAAGTTTTGCTTCCCGAGCTGGGTCTGCATCACTATAAAGACACTTCCAGGCTGTTTCCAACATATTTTGTTCTGAAATCACTCAAAGACAAACCTGCTCCCCAGCTAGCTTCCTCCAGCGATGACTAGCATCAAGCACGCTATCTAAGCACTGGACCACTCCAGCAAATTAATGTTCGGGAATGCCATCCAAGCAGTGGATTGCAGCCAAGCTCTGCTCTCCTTCCCCAGCTCTGTTGCGGGAAGGGGGTCGGGGGAGCAGCTCGAGCAGGCAGAGCTCTGCAGAAGGGATGGAGCTGATGAACGCTGCAGCATCTCCTTTACAGGGTGTTGCAGGGTGAGGGGCATCGCTCAGCTCCACCAGCAGCCTCCCCCACTGTAAACCCAGGCTGAGAGGGGCTTGGAGCAGGGATGTGATTGCAGAGGACCTGCAGCGGCCTGTGCCAGGTAGGCAGGCATCCTCAGAGGACCCCATCCACTCCGGAGTAACCAGCGGGTACAGACGGATGCAGTGGCCTCGCGCCAGGGACCAACAGCCGCTGCAAGGGACCATATGTGTGAGTTCCTGCCAGGGGCTGGGGAGGACAAGTTCTTGCTTTAATCAAAGACTGCACCAATGTCAGCTCCTAAAGAGACTGCTGGGAAGACAGGAGGGTTCCTTGATTCAGACTGCCAGCCCTGCTCACCCGCTAGAGAAATCTCTTTAGGGAAATTCTATTTCCTGCCAAGAAGATTCAAGAATTTTAAAAATAAATATAATTTAACTAAGCATTTGGAGAGCTGGCTGCTCCATGGCTCCCAGGACTGCGATGGTGTGACCCAGCTGGCGCAGGCAGGCTGAGGCACAGCTCACTCTGGGATGCTGCAAAGGGTGCAGGGAGCTGCCAGCAGCAAGACAAGCAGGGACCCCTGAGCTCCCAGGCAATGCTGGACAGCCCCCAGCACCAGGCAGGTTTGCTGGTAGCCCTTCCCAAGAGCAAGCCTGACATCCAGGCTTAACATCCACTCCGCACTGAAGGCGGATTTGCCCCGCAGCAAGCGTCTGACTCCAAAGGACTCAAGGGAAGGAAGCGAAGGGTCCTTGTGGCCTCCTGAACGGCTCAAGGTGCCTGCAGCCGCAGGGCTCTCCACTCCCCATCTCTATTTTGGGGCAGGGCTGCAACGATGCAGTTATTTCTGCCACTGCTGGGCTCTCCCACAGTCCCTGCATTGAGAGGGTCAGCATTTCTCCGTCCCAGGGGCTTGTCTTTTCCTCTGCACATGCCTTTGACAAGATCCACAGAGGTAAAAGTGAGCACTTCCCCTTCCATTGCTGTGCCTTCCCCATGCAGCGTGCTGAACCCTGGGGAGACCTTCCCCGCACTCTCCAGGACACCCTTCCTCATGTCCAGCCTTGAGCAGGACCCACTGAGACCATGCACCACTCGTGACAGGGGTGTGCACCAGCCCAGGCCTCCTGCAGAGCCCACCCAACCCAGCTCCCCAGGCCACCCCACCACAGAGCGACACAGTGCTTGCACAGCTCCACTTCTGAGCCTGGCTTTTCCCAAACCAGCACCCCTGAGCAGGCTCCCAGAGCCCCCAGCACAGCTCTAGCTCCACATGACACAAGAAATCCCCCGTGGGTCACTCCTGCATCACACCATCCTGACAGAAGCTCCTGCTCCAGCAAGGTCTCTCCTGCCCATCCCCATTACAGGAGCTGTGAATTAAACCCAAATCACTTGAATGTTAACCAAATACCACATCATGGTGAGGCATCTGCAGAAGTTGCCCTGTGTTACTCCTGCCCGATGGAATTAGCCTCAGAGCCACTGAAGTTTACAGTGTTTGCACACGTGAAACAATTAAAGAGAGGGAAGAGTCCGTCAGCACCAGGCAAAACAAGGCGGGGGGGTGGGACAGGGAGGAGATAAAGACCATCCTGCCTGGCTCTGGCATGGGCACTGCCCCAGTCAGGCTGGCACGCTGGGGTGAGCAGTGGTACCCACTCTCCATCAGCCACTAGCACATCCGTTACTCTGCATCCCAAACCGTGAGCTGCCACCACCCCTGTGGTCACCAGTTCTGCCCCCCCCCATCACCTCCAGCCCTTCTGGTAGGCAATAATAGAAGATTAGGACTGCCCCTTCCAGCATGCCTCTGCTAATTACCCCCAAAAGTGCAGGCTGGAGAGAGGCACAGACTGAGGCCTTTGGTCTTGTTTTACAGGTGGGGAAACTGAGGCACAGTGCTGGGGCCCCCACTCTCCCTGTGCACCCCCATGGATCCTGGCACCTGGAAGGGAGGCAAGGGCTAGAGATGGCCCAAACCCCACGACTACTGATCCTTCTGCTGTGCAGGGGCACTGCTGGGGTTGGGATGTCAGCGGCCAGCAACCACCCGTGCACGGACGCTCCAGGTCCAGCTCCCTCGCGGAGCCTTGCGGGCTTGTCGGGAGCAGCTGGGCACGGATCCTTACAGCAAAGCCTGTTCGTGACGGTGGGGAAATGTCCCAGCCACGGACCACAGCTTTCTGCACCAGCCCCACTGCTCAGGGGTGATGCCCAGAACTGACTTGCTGTTTTAAAACCAGGTTTCCACGTAAACACGGATGATGCTTCTGCACCGCAGTGTCTGTCTCCCGCACGGGCTCATCAGCATGTATTGTGTGTGACATCCCCTGCACGGACTAAAGAGAGGGGATAAATGTGTCTCCC